GCATTGCTCCATACCATGCAAGGAAGGCAAATCGAGTGGTTAGTCACCGTGACCTCTTGGGCTCATACAAGGCTATTATTTTCCTCGTCTCTTTTTTACCCTTTTTGCGTCTTATGTCCCTCGCTGCGCCCGATCCTTTCTTTAGAACACTTTTTTTTCTGGTCTTGTGCCTGGTTCATTCCGAGTTCAGCCATTCAGCCATTCTCAGCTTCAACGTGGTAATACCCCTGGTCTGGCCTTGTCCACCGCCAAACTCCGCATGCAGATACCATCCAGAACCTCTGTGTTTTTCAGTCGTATCAGTCTGCATATACGTAATTGTATGGGCGGGTATCTTACCAATTCCACCCCCCCCCCCCACATCATAAAAAGGACATGTAAAAAAAAAACCTTGATCGTTAGGAATGGGAATAACAAAGAAAACCTGTCTTTTGGCGATTCCATCGGCCGGTATTTGCTTGCTGTTTGGTTAACTGGAATCGTTCCTGGGAAGACCGTCGTGAGACTCTGAGCCCGACATGATGATTTCGACTTCGACAGAGTATCTTTCGTGCTAGTTCTGACATACTGCGTAGTAAAACGACATTCTCCGTTATCAATCCTAAACATAAAACGAAGTACAACATGTTCCACACTGTTAGATACGGTGAATAACGGTTGGTAAGATGCAAAAGCAGCTACTGAGCGTATCAGCACAGTGGGACGCTGCTTCTCCACAAGTTAATCCCACTGCAGCGGCTATTCGAGGCTCTGTGCGCCACTTTCTATTTCTCGACTGTTCAGGAATAATACACGTACGCCTGTAATATTTGTACTGCGTCGCGTATATCGACCAAACTCTAAAGAACCAGCAACAAGCAAATCCAGGACTCCAGCGTAGTTGATTGCCGAGCATAGGTTTTCTGGTATCTCTTGCTCGACCACCTGGAAATTTGAACTTCAGCTTCATACTACATACTGCTATTAATGATTTGCGCAGGGCTACGTCGTAATACACGCCAGACGTACGAAGTATTGTCAACTTAGTACTTCCGTTACTCGTCCTAGTTGAGCACAATCTTCCCCGCCTCTCCACCTCCCAAAATAGACCGGTGTGGGTTGGTGGTTTTGACCTTCGCGACCCGTTGACGTTGTCTTAATGTCTTGTCTTAACAACAATAATTCAATGTACGGGGTATTTGTAGCAGTATGTTGTACATCTTTACCGCCTCTTCGTGGTCGTCCCTTTGACAAACAGGTGGCTGCCAGAGCGACAGTGGCCAAGCTTGGCTGGGCGCCATGTCGACAATGGTGGAAACAACAGCTGCAGGATACGTAAAATGTATAAGCTCAAACACATCTCGACCAGCGATTCTATTCGACGATTTCAACAATTCGAACTTCCGACGTACCCCTGCCTGTGTGCTCGTGATGTGTCAGAAACTTTCGCAAGTACGTAAAAATACGTAACACATCAAAACGGCGATGCGCCGGTTGTCTGCCCCAGTCAGCCGGCTGACCCCAGCCCCGCGCTTGGCGTCGAAACGGGAATGTCCTTGCAATTTTGATTACCCTTTTGTTACGGAATGCTGCCGGGACTGCCATTTCAGGTACCACGGGCTAGACCGACTAGTGGCACGACCTCCTTTCCTGCCGCCCCGTGACGTGAAGGTATTTTCCGTCTCGTGTCCTGCTTGTCCGCCAGTTTCTCTTTGTTCTTTCGTTCCCTTGACTATTACGAAAGAGAAGTACGACATACTCCGTGCGTTGCGCGTCATACGAAGTAATACAATGGAGCTCTCCTGATGGGCCACTCCCTGCTGATACGTTCGTTGGGTGGCGAGATCCAAATATTGGCAACATGTAATTATGGGGTGTGCAAGGAGCCCGTTGGCGTGTTGCAATTACCCAATTGCCATCAATCTACGACGTAGTGTCAATTCTTGTGAGAGGACAACTGTCGCTTTTCAGGAATGATTTCTGCAATGACCGCATGCTCGCTACTTATTTATATGTGCGCCGTTCCAGGGCGACAAGGATGTGCATGGGCTGCCTCTTGCTCGGCAAAAACGAATTGTTCCGGTTCAGTTTAGGACAATATAGTTCCTAGAGTCTGTTCTGACCGAACACTGACCAAATTCTTATCACGAGTCTAAGGGGAGCATGATAGTTGGACTGAGATTAAAAACGGTTTGACATGCTGACAAAATAGCGCTGACTGGTGGAGAACAGGCCCTCTGCAGTATACTCCGTACCGTCGTAATTGTAAAAGGTGGGAAATGCAACTCAGTTGCAGTACTTTCTCTCTCTCCTGTGGTCCTCAACGAACAACGTGATTCGTAAGGCGACACTCGGGAACGAATCAGGAGGAAATACTTGGAGTACGACGGGTGCTTGTATTTGAGATGGGGCCAGGGGAAAGGGGGGCAAAGGCTCCAGCAAAATTGATGGTTCTAGCCCCTCCATTTGTGCCTCCAATTGGTCACTGGTGCTGCCATCCATTGCCCCATCCTTCCGATGCAATCATAAAATATTTATTGCAACAACATCTCTTGTACGGAGTAGCAATACGGCCCATGCTTACGCTCGCCACCAGCCATCACCATTATGAGCCTACTAATACCGGCCCGGGAACGTGCTCGGTCACTCGACCGGAAAGACGAGCTAAGGCGCTTTCGCAACGAGTTTGCTATCCCGAGCACGTCACAAATCCACAGTGATACCCTCACTCTCCCGAGCGACAATACAGGAGCGCCGACCGTACCTCAACGGAGCATCTACCTCTGCGGCAACTCGCTGGGTCTCCAGCCTATGCGCACTGCAACGCGCATCCAGCAACACTTATCGACATGGGCTGCACAGGGGGTGCAAGGCCATTTCAAACCGCTGGCCGACAGCCCATTACCAACATGGCTGGATGCCGATGCTAAGGCTGCAGAAATGATCGCACCCATCGTCGGCGCCGAGACGTCCGAGGTTGCAATCATGCAGACATTAACGGCTAATCTGCACCTGCTACTGTCTGCATTCTACCGACCGGAGACCCGCGGGCGGCACAAGATTATTTTAGAAAGCAAGGCTTTCCCTAGTGACCATGTAAATCACACACAGCCTTGCAAAGGCTCGCACCCTTTCCCCCTCACCAGCGTGCGGCAGTGACACAGTGCAAGAACTGCTTTCATGGAAGACTCACGGGAATATCATACCTGCACCGGTATTTCAATATTGTACACGGTCCGACTTTGCAATGTGAGGCGATAACTAACCGGGGTTGCAATGCTTCTGAGTAGTTTGCTGTCGAGACTCAAATTCGCCACCACGGACTGTCCGTTGCGACGTCTATGGTTGTCGTCGATATGCCGTCGTCCGAAAACCCTAGCACCACTACCCACGATGTGATGGCAACCATCTCTCGGCATGCCGTTGACACAGCGGTGCTGCTCCTACCCGGCATCCAGTACTACAGCGGCGAGTTCTTGGATATTCCCGTCATCACTGACTTTGCCCATGCTCACGGCATCTTTGTGATCTGGGACCTAGCCCACGCAGTAGGCAACGTGCCCCTTCGGCTACATGACTGGGACGTTGATGCAGCTGTCTGGTGCAGTTACAAGTATCTTAACAGTGGGCCCGGCGGCATCGGCGGCTTGTTTGTCCACACTCGTCACAGCCAGGTTACACGGTCCATCACCGACGACCAACCACACACCGGATTTCCAAACCGGCTTGCGGGCTGGTGGGGTAACGATAAGGCCACGCGCTTTGTGATGACCACAAAGTTTCATCCTGTACCGGGCGCCGCTGGCTTCCAGCTCAGCAACCCAAGCATTTTGGACATTACAAGCCTCTGCGCGTCGCTTGAGGTCTTCCGGGAAGCTGGTGGCGTGGATGCTTTGCGAAAAAAATCCGTCAGTTTGACGGGCTTCTTGGAGGCATTGCTCAATTCTTTACCTAGCGAGTTGCGTAGCAAGTTTCGTATTCTGACGCCGTCGGTTCCCGCCCTTAGAGGCGCGCAGCTGAGCCTTCTCATTGGCGACGGGTTGCTGGACTCTGTGATGGATGCGCTACTTGCACGTTCTGTCATTGCCGACGAGAGGAAACCCAATGTTATTCGTGTTGCTCCCGCACCGCTCTATAATTCCTACGAGGATTGTGTCGACTTTGTTGAAGCTTTTGAGGATGCTTTGAAGAAGGCCGGCGCACCCTCTCCGGGTGTGGATTGAGCAATTAGTTGTATGTTTGGCGCATTAACAAAAAAGCATTAACAAAAAACACCCGTTATATTTTTGGGGCGGACGAATGATCACGTTTTATCTACACGAAACCATGCTTTGTGGTCCGTAGGTCGTAATCGAATCCAAGGCTCGCAATTGATACTTACGCATCGAGATGCATACAAGATCTTATTGCCAAGGGCGCGGGCAAATTTCACATATCATCTCCTCGTCGTAATTTTAAGTGTGTAACCAGCCCCAGATGTGACTGTCACATCAACCACAGGATTTATGAAATATCCGGCATTATTGCGTCCAACCTGTCAGGCTCCGATGTCCACAATGGGCTAACATCACACTTGGGAAAAACTGACTCTGTTTCACAAGTGCACGCGCTAAGAGGTGGGACGTGCTTTTTAGAAGGCAACTACCCCCTGCCTTCCCCGATACACTTTGAATTCTTGTCTGTTTGACTTATGGAATTCTTCAGCTCTTTTGTTTCCGCATCTTGGTTTCTACTACTCACGATAATAGCCACCTACTGACTGCCACCTTTTTGGATCTCAATTAATACTGTCGTACTACGTGCCTGTCTTTAATCTCACACTTGTTGCTCATAGCACATCCTTCCTCGTACCTTGTCGCTCTTTGACTTGACCCACGGTGCTACTTGCTTTAGCACATTCTTGCACTACTTGATCAACAAAAAAAGGCGGGAAGGCTCACAAGCACACAAGCAGGCCGCCACACGTGGTGGTAGCCACGACGCCAACGAAATTTTGTGACAGAAAACGGCAGCTCGTCGCAATGGACATATTTTGTTCTGGCACACCGGCCGGCCTTTGCGACATTAGGGCAAACACTTCACGGCCCACCGGTTACCGAAACATCGCCGGGTCTCTCCTGACCCGACCGTGGATTGGCATTATTGTACTTGTGGCTATGACCGCAACTGCTACAGCGTCCCCTCCTGTCGGACAACAGTTCCTTGACTCAAACTCCACAAGCTGGCATAAATATGTCAGAGCACCAGGAAGCAAAATTATTCCTCCCGCTCGCATCCTCCCCCAATATACCACGGGCAACGTGACCAACACGGATGGCCTGCTCCAACATGGGTCTGGTCCGACTGTTCTTACGCGACTGGGAACAGATGACGGAGTTCCGTCCTTCGTCATTGATTTTGGTATCAATGTCGCCGGCCAGCTGTCAATTGACTTCGCCGGAGCCTACAACACCACGGCAGGTTTTCCTGGTATTTCGTTGGCTTTTTCCGAAACCCTACAATACCTATCCAACCGGAGTGACTTTACCAGGTCTGATAATGCCGGGGGTGTAAGTCTTGTCAACCATTACGGTATCATCTCCAGTATATTTGCGTGCCTCCCATCCTCAATGAGGATAAAACGCATTTTGTTCTTCTTGCAAGGTTCTTCTGAAATCTAACTTTGAATCTGAACCACTGATATAGAACTTAAAACTGACATCCGGCACTGATCAAGTGAGCAAACCATCCATACCCCCATTGCCGTTGTCAGTCTATTTTCTAAGCCGTTTTAGGTGGCCGTGAAACCAGAGCCCTATTCATGGACAAATCAACTCGGCTGCGAGTATGGCACGCAGGTGTGCGCAGATGGACTGCATGGCTTCCGCTATGTCAAAATTCGACTGACTTCTCTACCCACTGACTCTCCATACACTTCCGCATATGGCTCGGTGTCAATTTCAGCCATTAACCTCCAGTATTCTGGTTACCTTGGCACTCCCGATACGTTTACAGGTCATTTCGAGTGCTCCGATCCAGATATCACGCAGTGGTGGTATGATGCCGTGTACACAAATGACCTTTGTACGGACAGTTTTCTTTCCAACACCACCGAGCCGCGGAATGCTGCAAGTCCATCGTTACTTGGAAAACTTGTCTTACTTGATGGTCCAAAGAGAGATCGGGACCCTTACGTCGGTGATCTCGCTGTTTCAGCACTAACTACGTATCTGTCGCACAATACCAGCGAAGCGTCCTTGAACGTCCTCGAAGATCTTGCTCGTCACCAGAGAGACGACGGCTGGATACCTCCTGCTAGCATGTAAGTGTCAATTCGGCCTCGATTTCTTACGATTTCTTTGCTGCTCGAGTATATCAAGAAAAAGTGCTAACAAAAGCAGCAATGACTATACTCTGCCTCTATTTGATTATCCCCTTTGGTGGGTTGTATGCAGCGCAGACTACGTTATGTATACAGGAAACGTTTCCTATTGGAATTCCTATTATAGAGTTCTTGTCAAAGTCTTAGACGAGTACTACGTCTCTAACACCAACACCGCAACATCATTGATAGAACGCCCCGGAGGTACAGGTGACTTTGCTTTCCTTCCTCGCACCGGGCCTGTTACATACTACAACGCTCTCTATATACACGCTCTGCAATATGCAGCGAATGTGGCTCAAATTCTCAACAACTCCGAAGATGCATCACGCTGGCAAATCCGGGCCTCGGCGGTTGGACAAGCCCTCCTTAAACGAAACTATGACACCAGCGCTGGTGCATTCTTTGATGGCGGTCCTTGCTCAAACAACACCATCTGTCCAACCCACTCTCAGGATGGCAATAGCTTAGCAATTCTTTCTGGCGTTGTCCCCAGTGGCCTATCATCCGACACCAGTATTGCCGAATCAATATTGGCTTACATGAACCGGACGATGTATAAACCATATGGGAATGCTTTCTACGACAACAACATCTTGGATCCCGGTGGCGATTACGTAAACCGTGTCTATGCGTTCACCTCTTATTTCGAGATCGCTGCGAGGTTTGAAACATCGCTCAAGACCTCTCAAGGTGCCCTGGAGGAAACGCGAAGGCTCTTCGGATGGATGGCTGGACATGATCCCACAGTAACAGTCTGGGAAGGCATTGGAAAAGATGGCACTCCGTACGAATCTGGGTTCACATCCATGTCTCATGGCTGGTCCACAGGAATTGTGCCTCTCTTAGTTAACTATGTCCTGGGTGTAAGTCCTGCTGCACCCGGCTTCAAAAAGTGGAGAGTGAAGCCAGTTTTACCAGCTATGGATAACGTTAGTTGGGCAAGTGGACTCGTGCCTACACCAGATGGGGGAATCTGGGTTCAGTGGGAAAGGCGTCGTGGGACCTTTGTATTGCTCGTCAGTGCACCAGATGGAACCGAAGGGACAGTAACCATTGCTCTATCGGCTGGCGAATCCAGCTCAGTCAGCGTGGATGGAACGGTCGTCTACAGCCAGAAGGACAGAAAAGTGGGTGATAACAATGGCTACGTGAGCATTTCTCTTCAAGGTGGCAGGCATATCATAATTGTCCATTGATATTCACCGAAATTTATCCATTGGTGTTTCCCGTTTTGTTTTTCAAGAATGTTGAATAATATCGGTTCGTATTATTGCTGTGTTATCTCGTTCCCTATCACCACCATCCGATGGTAAGGATTTGCGTTGCTTCACAATCCCAACGGGACGACAGGTAAAGTTTATTCTCATTCCACATTTCGCGGACGTCCAAGTATTGTTTCTACGAACCGTCCAAACATACTTATCGTCACTGCTCACTTCCGAAACGGTTGATTTAACGGCTATTGGTCACCCATTTGCCCTTTTTCGTAATTTTTTTTTTTTTTGCGAGAAAAAAAAGTCTTAACAAAACCCCGTTCGTATTGAACACAGGGTATCAGAAAACTATCCTTGGTGAACAATCACACCTCAGTCGTAACCTTAGCCTTCGAGTTGGTCACCTTGACGCCCAGCTGCTTCGCTCTTGCAATAATATCGATTCTCTTTCTCGAGGAGACATTGTGGGCAATCCTAGATAAAACGTCAGCAGCTACAACAATCCGAATTAGGTCACGTCAAAAAGGATTATGACAAAGCCCAAAACAGGCCTCGAGTCTGAAAACGAAGTGCATGTGGTGACACCTACTCCGCGGCGTATGTCCGGTTGTGCATCAGCAAAAGCTCGACGTCGTTGACGTTGCTGACAAGAAAGGCCTTGTGTCCAGACGGGGTCATGTGGCGGGTCTTCTTGTTGGAGCCGAAGCCAATCTGTCGAGCAATAATGTCAGCGCAATTCGAAGATCTAAAACGAAGTGTAAATGGCTGTTTCACCCGCATCCATCCGTCCTCTGTTCATTCCACGCTCCCAAAAGATTCCACGCTCTTTGTTCTCCCTTGTCGTCGATCGACATCACGAACGGCTCGGCGCAGGACTTATACGTACCGACGGCAGGACCTGCTGGCCCCGGAATCGCCGACGAACACGGCTGTCAATACCCTTGGGCTTTCTCCAGCTAGAGTCAACGCGCATAAACCGGTCACTTTGGTGCCGGCTGAAGTGCTTGGTGCCTGTAAACCCAGAAAAACGACGTTAATAACGATACACGGGAGAGTCGATGTGACGATGCTGTTTCGACATCAAAGTTCGCGATTATCGAAAGGGCATGATGCTCCGGCTTTGAGTATCGAAGGATCAGACGTACGCTTCTTGACGATAGGAACGTGCTTCTTCGCGGAAACCATCTTAATTGACGAATCGACCAGTAAGTATTCGTATTCTGGAGCTATTGTTGACGGGAATATATCCAGTGTCGCATACCTTGTCGGATTTGCTGTCGTGCTTTTGACGATACGTTGTCTTAGATGCGGAAGTAGAAAGAGCGACAAAGGTAACAATAAATTGAAGAAGATTTTTCTTCCCTGCCCAGTTTGCAAATTTCGCGCTAGCAGAGGGCTTTGCCTTAGGGCTGGAGCGCCACCGTGAAAAAATAATTGAGATGTGGGCCGATGAAACTGTGTGGCTGTGCCATTACCAAATATGTTAATTCACGTGATCTCATCTCAACGATTTCTTACGGGACTGAGGGAGAAATTACTAACGTCGTAGTTGGTCGACAACATATCATAAGCTGTTTACTTTGACTTTTGGAATAGAAATGAACTTTCACTACGTACTTCGTACAGAGTTTTCCAATAGAAGCAAGATGGCCCATTAAACGGAATTCGACTAACCACACCGATCTTCAAGACTCGGTAACATAGTAGTTGCCAAGTATTTGACACAACCCAATGATTGTGTTTCAGAAAGTAGTGAAGATGATCACTCCATCCGAATATTCAAATACAGCCCAGAAACTTGATGCAGTAACACTCTAAGCTGCTTTCCGTCGTTATCAAGCTCCATAAGTATAGTACGCATTTAAGGGCACTTGAAATTGATAAAAAAAGTACTGCCAACAGCCCCAAAGACGGCAAGAGCTCTCTAAGTCTGTCGTCTACAGATGTAACGGTCCAACATTAGGCTCTGCTATAGAGCTGAATTTCTACAAACAACAAGATTGTCACGATAAATTGTCGTTATACGCAGTGTATATTTTCCATTCGTAGAGATAGTACTCTCTTTGTCAGCAACAGGTGGACCCTGCCCCGCCTTCTGTGGTAGGCAACGAAACACGCTCTATCTTATCTTCGCTCATGCATCGACCCAGATACTGTTGGGCACAACGACCGGTAATTGTATTAAGAACGCTCCATCGTCAACAGGATGGAGGCCATGTCGCAATTCTGGGGCAAAGGTATGCGTATTCTAGACTGCTTATAACAACACCCTATCTAACAAAATCTCCCGTGAACCGAGAAGGGTTCTTTGCTAATTTTATGACGCCTGGAAGGCCTCGATACCAAAGTTGATCCAGTTCGAGATGCTCTATACAACTACGATGCCGAGGCCCAGAAAGCAATCAACGACGATCGCCCATGGGCAAGGGATCCAAATTACTTTAAGATGGTTCGCATCAGTGCAATTGCTCTCATCAAAATGGTGATGCACTCCCGGTCCGGTGGCTCTCTCGAGGTGATGGGCCTGATGCAAGGCTATGTTGATGGGACAACTCTTGTGGTCACAGACGCTTTCCGCCTGCCAGTAGAAGGCACTGAAACACGAGTCAACGCTCAGGACGAAGCAAACGAGTACCTTGTCGAATATCTGAAACTTTGTCGCGACCAAGGCCGCATGGAAAATGTCATAGGATGGTACCACTCGCACCCTGGGTATGGCTGCTGGCTCAGTGGCATCGACGTGAGCACTCAAGCAATGCAGCAAACATTCAACGATCCCTTTGTTGCCGTTGTTGTCGATCCCGACAGAACGATCAGTGCTGGAAAAGTAGAGATTGGCGCGTTCAGAACATATCCAGAAAACTTTAAGGCTGCAGAAAGTGGCCCAGGGAACTTCTCGGGCGCTGCGTCGGATGGCTTCCAGTCTGTTCCACTAAATAAAGCGGACGATTTCGGAGCTCATTCGAGTCGTTATTACAGCCTTGAAATTGAGCACTTCAAGAGCTCCTTGGACGCCCATCTTCTGGACCTCCTCTGGAACAAGTACTGGGTCCAAACACTGTCCCAAAGTCCCCTCCTAACCAACCGAGACTACGAAAACAAACAAATTCTCGACCTCGGGCAGAAGATCAAGGAAGTCACAGCCACAATCCAACGTGTCGGCCGCGGCGGTGGCCAGACAAGTGGCACTGGGGTTGGCCCGGCTTATGGCAGTGGTGGCATGGCAAGAAAGTCAATACAGCAGGCGTCGGAGAGAGTCGAGCGCAATAGTAAAATTCTCGCGGCGAGAGAGAGATCAGGTTTAATGGCCAGTGACATAAAGTCAAACATCTTCAACTCTAACCCAACAAACACTGGGGCCAACGCTGGGACAAGTACCGATTCAGCAACCATTACAAAACCTCCGTTGGCATAGACGGTCTACATCATATTTGACAAATCCCGACTTTATGTCACGGCTCATTGGCGGGGTTGACACAATTTCCTTTATCGTCTTTCTCAAGATAACTACGGAGGCAATGATTTTGAACTTTATTCACATAGGCAATGAATGAACTGTCCGATAATTATCATTGCCTGTGATATGTCCATTATCTGGTATAATAAATCACAAGCAATGCATTCTGACTGCCCGGAACTAGTCATCAGAAAATTAGTCCAACCGAGAGTCGGTAACAGTGCTTGCGAGTCGGACTCTGCTCAGTGTTTCGGATCTACCGAGGTATTCCATGAGGTGCGATATTTGCGGTCCCTTGTTGAGACCAAGAAGACCCCAGCGCAAAAACTTGTAACCAGCCGCCACCGGTGTACCTTCGGCCTCACGGTACGTAACACGCTTTGTAATGTCTCCGAGTGTGGTCTGTATCGTGTCTGCAAACCAATTCTTGTCGTCAATACGGCCAAGTTGTTCAATAAAATATTCCATAACACCACGCGTAGAACTAGGTGCTTCATCGATGAACAAGCTAGCGGAATCTGGTAGGACGCCAGGAAGTAACTCCTTGATGTATATGGCTGGTGGCTTCCAGACCAGATATCGAATTGCGTGGAAAAAGCTAGGTATGGTGACCGCTTCATTTCGACATATCCGTACAGCGGTACGGATGCGATTACGGATGTGACCGTCATCCAAGTTGCCTTCATAGGGAAGCAACTGAAATATTGGCTCGCCAAGCAAGGAAAGTGAATTTCTATCCGTCAGCTGCCCTTGCAGGCCGTCTGCCGAAGGGCGCTGTCTTTTGGCCTCGGTCTCGCGCACCAGCTGCAGCACGGGGTCACTGATATATTCGTCGACAATGCGGTCATTCTCCAACGACGGGTTGCTGAGTGCCATTTGAATGTGCTTTTTGTGGAAGAACCCCAACTTCTCCGTGTTGACAACGATATCCCCCTTGGTAAACTTCAAACCAAACTAAATGACATATAAGCGACATATTCCAAAACGGTTTCGGAATTCACAAGGCTAGATATCTCACATTTTTGACCATGTCGTCAAGGCTCATGACCCCTTTGTTTGGCGACTTTGTGGGATTCCATCCAAGGAGTGCCGAAAAGTTCAACAGCGCTTCTGGTGGTACGCCATCTCGTCTGTACGAGTCAATTCCGATGTCCATGTTCCGTTTGCTCAGTTTTTGCCGATGGGAATCGACAAGAAGTCCAACGTGGGCAAACTTGGGTGCCTCCCAGCCAAAGGCATCATATAAGCTCGCGTGCTTAGCAGTGGATATAAGCCATTCCTGTGATAGTTGGTCAGTTACCACCGGTCTCTTTTACACCGGCCACCATTGGACAGTCATTCAAAGAGAGAAAACAGCGTCAGTTGGTAAGTCATTTAATAACTGGGAGGGAGGCATACTGCACCACGAACCACGTGTGTGATCTCCATAAGATGATCATCAACAACATTAGCGAAGTGGTAGGTCGGGAAACCGTCGCTCTTCATGATGATAAAATGGTCTTCGGGTAGCTTTTTCTTGTAGAGGCCGTACACGATGTCATATACAGTTGCCGGGTTGGGGCCACTGCGAAATCTGACAGTATGTGCCTCTCCTCTCGCCGCTCTGTCTGCTGATTCATTTGCAGGGATGGGCAAACACTTTCCCGGGTATGTACCAAGTGTGCCGTCTGCCTTCAAGTTTTTATGTTGGTGTGTGGTCATATCATCGTACGAGCAGAAGCAACGAAACGCTTTACCCTCTTGTAAAAGTCGGTTGACGTATTGTTGATAAATATGAAGACGTTCAGACTGTTGACAAACGTCAGGTTATGATGATACTCCAGCCACATATGTAACCTGCTGTTTATGCCATACCTGCTTATAAGGGCCATATGGGCCGCAACAGTCGGGACCTGTCAAGTTGTTAGATTGCACCATTCAGCTATTTGACAAAACACTGTACACCGCCAGTACGGGCATATTGACCTTCGTCCCATGTAAGTCCTGCCCACCTCAGGTCATCGTATAAGCGGTCCTCTGCGTCAGGGACAATCCGTGACTGGTTTGAAAGCCTTGTTTAGATACGGATACGGTCGGACACGGCGTAGCAAAATAGCGCCTCCTACCTGATCTGTGTCTTCTAGTCTGAGTATAAACTTCCCATTGGTAGCACGGGCCAAAAGGTAGTTATACAGTGCCGTCCGAAGAGACCCGAGATGAAGATAGCCTGTCGGAGACGGTGCAAAACGTGTCCGCGCGGGCCGGTCAGGTAACTGTCCGTGTGTGGCTCGATCAGGCCGCCGGTTTGAGAAAGGAGTGAAATGTGACGATGTGGACGAACGTGCTCTGAGTGCACGGTTCAAGTAGACGATATGTGGTTGTGTACCGTTGCGAAGGTAAGCCGATCGGCCTACTGGCATAAAGATATTCATTGCGTGTCGTTGACCAGCTACAACAGTGCGCAATGGTGCCCCGGTCTGCCACCGTGCGTGACCATCGGGTGCGCCAAGTGTGATCTTATGACACAACCCCTATAGTTAAGACTTTTGATCTGCTTTAGCAAATTAAGGGCGCGCTCATATGAAATCGATGTCGGAGAGTTGGGACATGGAAATTCTTATCTTATCACATAAGCTACTGGTTTCTGGGCAAAGTGCTTGTTTCTCCACTAGATTAAGGCACATACAGCACAAAAGGCAAGGAAGGAACACTAAAACTCGACGTTACACGACGTATTATGGTTTTGCAGTTTGCCTACCTTACTCCTGTATGATAAATGAGGGGCAGAAAAAATTCTCCCCGTCTTCCAAGCGCCACACAAGCAGGTTTCGCAAAGCAAGAGGCTAACTAGCTACGATTAAAGTCCAACCCTCTTATTGACAGGCGGTATTTGCTATTGCTATTATTCCGACCCTCACACCTGTGAGCACCGGGCGAGTTTCCGACACGTATCAAACAGCTTTTGCACTACTCCGTAACCACGATGGACAGTGGCGACCCCAGCAAGCCCACAGGCGAGGAGGAGGAAGCCGATCTTTACAGTATGTCGGGCTCCGGTACCTTGCCGGCATATGTTGAGACGGAGTGAGACTTGCTGACTTGGGGTCCCAGAGTTGCTTGGTGTTGAAAATTCAGCGACAGCCAGTGAAATTAAAAAGGCGTATCGAAAGGTGAACTAGGCGTGGCTCCGAAATAACCCTACGAGCCTGTATGTATGTAATGGATCCAGTTACTGATTTAAATGTGTCTCATTAGGCTGCACTACTGCACCATCCCGATAAGGTACCTGAAGACCAGAGGGCAGAATCCGAAGTCAAGTTCAAGGCCGTTACTCAGGCGTACGAAATTCTCCGCGATGATGAAAAGAGGAAGCTTTATGACCAATACGGCATGGCTGCTTTCGATTCAACCCGGGGTGGGCCAGGTGACGCCGGCGTCGACTTGAACGACATGCTGGCGCAGATGTTTGGCATGAACGTTGGCGGTGGCGCCGGTGGCCAGAGGCGCCCGAGGCGAGGTCGTGACGAGGAACAGCAGTATAAGGTCACCCTGGAAGAACTATACAAGGGTAAAACGGTCAAGTTCGCTGCAAACAAGCGTGTGATCTGCAGTCAGTGCAAGGGCTCGGGCGCAAAGGAGAAGGTGAAGCCACAGCAGTGTGATAGGTGCAAGGGTGCCGGCGTACGGGAAGCTTACCGCCAAGTTGGCCCCGGCCTTATCCGCCAAGAAGTACTGCCTTGTGACAATTGCGATGGCACTGGGATGTTCTACAAGGAGAAGGACCGCTGTAAGAAGTGCAAGGGTAAAAGGACTGTTGAGGAGACGAAGGCGTTGGAAATCTATATTCCTCGTGGGTCCATGCAAGGCGAGCACATTGTTCTTGAGGGCGAGGCGGACCAGTTTCCTGACCAGACTCCGGGTGATATAGTTTTCACCTTGGTGGAGGAGCCGCATGAGATCTTTACTCGCGTTGGTGATGACCTATCTGCGGAGCTCAATGTGACTTTGGCAGAGGCCCTAGGGGGGTTTGCCCGGGTTGTACTAAAGCACCTTGATGGCAGGGGTATTCACCTTGGGCACCCTCGAGGGAAGATCCTGCAGCCTGGTGAGATCCTCAAGGTGGTAGGCGAAGGCATGCCGAGGAAGCGAGGAGAGGAAAAGGGAGACCTTTACCTGAGCGTGAAAATTACGTTTCCGAAAGCTGGCTGGCTACCAGATGACGATGCATATGAGACGCTCTGTAAACTTCTCCCTATTCCAGAACCGTCGATACCCGCCGAGGAGGTCGACGAAGTCGAGTACGAGACTAATGCTGACATTGAACAGGTAAGTTCGTTCATGTGCGTCTAGACGCTTCTCGGCTTAAACTAAGACTGATTTTGTTTGTTCCAGATGGGAGGCCGCTCGCACCATTCAAGACCTGGTATGGTTTGGGAGGACGAGGACGATGACGACGACCAGGGTGGCCCACAGTGCGCGACTCAGTAAGGTCTGTGTAAATCCTATCGTGTAATGATTACACGGTGGTTATACTTTAGTTCTATTATAACGTAAATACTTATGATTTAACCCCTTAAATAAAAGTAACAGAAGAAATACCAAAATAGGAATCAACTAAGTGGTATTGTTATAAATATGATTCTTACTTAAAAAAGGTACGTGACTTTTTATCAGGTGGGAGCCTAACCGTACGCCCAGGGTTGCGAAATTAATATATAACATGTAATATTAATATAATATCAATGTAATATTTTTCGTCAAATATTATACTGATATATTACAATTAATATAAATATCATAATTTATTAATGTAATATATTACGTATAATACCAATATATATAGTTAATATTATACTAATGTAATACATCCAAGGCTAGGAATTAATACAACTAAAATCAGGTATACACGTTTTAAATGCATTAGTTGAGAACGTTAAGTACGTTTTATAAAATGGAGTTGTTTACTGTTCAGTTGTTATTCAACGGTAATTATACGAAAACGATTTATTTTAAAATATTTTTTATTTAAACACGTAACCTTTTATAATATCAATTGTATAATACGAATTAATTCGGGATTTATAAGGTAAAACGTAAAATATGTATTTTAAAAAGTGTTAGTTTAAAACGTGTATTACGTTTTATAAAAAGTAACTATTCACTTTTAAATTCTTATTAAGTAAGTTTTTACTTTTTAAATTTTATTTAGCTGTAATTCTACGAAAAGGGTTCATTTGAATATGCTTCATTTAAAAATATAACTATTTTTAAAGACTATACTGTAAATGTAAAAATACATTTACAGTACAGTCCTTGAAAATAAGATTATTTCGGGTTTTAAAACGTAGAAAATAAAGTATTAGTTTTAAAAGTATTAGTAAAAACGTTATATTACGTTCCATAAAAAGTTATTTTTTAACTTTTAAAAAATATTAACTAAAAACTTTTATTACATTTTTAATTATTATATACAGGGTTGGGAATTAGTATTAGTATTTTAGTATTTAGTATTAGTATTTTTTTGGATATTAAATACTAAAAATACTAATACTAATTTTTTTAAATACTAATACTAAAATACTAATACTAAATGAGTATGTAGTATTTATACTTATATTAAAATACTAAATTAATAATACTTAATTTTATATTTTATAAATAATACATAAAAAATAATACTTCTTTTTAAATAATAAGTTGATAAAAAATCAATAAAATTGATAAAATTAATATAAAATAATAATATACTACCTTTCAAAATAAACTAACCTTACACGAAGTTAAACCAATTACCTTTTTATAATAATAGTATTATTTCCGGTTTTAAAAACGACGTTTAACCGTATAAAAACAATATAGTTACTATAAACGCATATAAACTAGCTTAAATAAAGTGGATTTTTAACTTTTTAAAAAGTATTATAAAGTTATAATTCGTAATTCTAATACATTATCTTTTAAAATAAATTTATTTTAAACGAAATTAAACTAATTACTTTTTATACTTGTTATTACCGGCGTTAAAAGGAACGTTTAACCATATAAAAAAATTAAAAAAATTATATAGTCACTATAAACGTATATAAATTAATTTAAATAAAGTAGTTTTTGAACTTTTTAAAAAATAGTAAAAGGTTTTAATTCGTAATTTTTATACATTACTGTTTAAAATAACTTATTTTTATAGGAAATAAAAGCAATAACGTTTTTATAACAATAGTATTATTACCGGTTTTAACACGGCGTTTAATTATATAATCACTTTTAATGTTAAAAATAAACAGGTTATATAATGTAAATAAAGTATTATTCTATCAAAAACGAATTTTCACTAAGTGAAAAAACTTATATTTATACTAAAACTAAAATACTAATACTAATTTAGTATTTAAAAAATCCATACTAATACTAAAATACTAATACTGAATAGTATTTAGTATAGTAAATTAGTTTTAGTATACTAAATTCGTATTAGACAGGGTTGGGAACTAGTTGTACTAAATTTAGTAGAGAGGGTTATTAAAGCTAAATTTAGTTGTACTAAATTTAGTTGTATTAAGATGTTCTAAATTTAGTTCTATTAAATTTAGTTGTTTTAAAATAATTAAATAGTTGTTTATATTTATTTAGTTTAATACGCTATAATATTACTTATATTTTAATACTACTAATAAAGTGTAATATTTAATACTTTAAAAGTGCATTATATTCATAAATATAAGTAATTCGATATTTATAACGAAAATACGTCTTAAAAATATATTGTTGTTTAAAAACGTCATATTTCGTTTTCTAAAATATAATATTTTACTTTTAAAATTTTATTTAACGGTAATAATATATAAACTATTTACTTTAATTTATTTAAAGTAAATACGTTATTTATAACAAGTTTAACCGTTTACGTTTTAAAAATATAAATAATTTAAGTTTTTTTAAAAAAAATCGTTTTAAAACGTATTCGTTTAAAGAGTCTATTTCGTTTTTATAAAGGTAAGGTTTTACTTTTTAAATATTATTTTACGGTAATTATATAAAATTATTTTATTTTAATATATTTACGTTAAGTACCTTATTTACTACTAGTTTAACTCAGGGTTGGGAAAGTTGTTCAGTTTTAGTACAACTAAAAAACTAAATTCAGTAGTACTAAAATTAGTTGTAATAAATTTAGTTTTAGTAGCCCTTTTTACTAAATTTGGTATAATTAAATTTAATACTATTAAATTTAGTACAATTAAATTTAGTTTTAATAGTTTTAGTATAATTAAATTTAATTATATTAAAATTAAACTTATTTAATTTTATATATTTAATTTAGTACGTTATCATAGTAATTTAAAAAAATTATATTTTAATAAATATTAATAAAGTGAATTAGTTAATCCGTTGAAGTTATATTATACTTAAAAATAAAACTAATTCGATATTGATAATATAAAAAGTAAAATATTAGTTTTTAAAATCATTTATTTAAAACGTTTAATATATTTTTAATAAAAGAACCTTTTACTTTTTAGATATAATTTAACGGTAGTTATATAAAAATATTTTATTTAAAAATAATATAATTAAATACGTATTATACTACTTACATTACCGTACAATTATAAAAAATAAAAGTATATTAAGTTCTAAAATATAAAAAGTAAAATTTTCGGTTTAAAAATATTCGTTTAAAACTTTTATTATTTATTTTAAATATTAAGTTCAGGTTTGGGAATTAGTATGTTAGTATTAGTATTTATACTAATACTGATTTAGTATACTAAAACTAATTTAGTATACTAAATACTAAATTAGTATTAGTATGTTAGCATTAGTATAGATTTTTCAAAACTAAATTAGTATTAGTATTTTTAGTATCAGTATTGGAAAATACTAAATTAGTATTAGTATTTTAGTATTCGTATTTAAAAAATTAGTTTTAGTATTTTTAGTATACTAAATTAGTATTAGTATAAATACTAATACTAATTTTTTTTACTTAGAGAAAATTCGGTTATAATAAAAATAATACTTTATTTATATTATATAACGTATCTATTTTTAAAAATAAAAAGTGTTAATATAATTAAACGTCATTATTAAACACGGTAATAATAGTATTATTATAACGAAGTAATTACTTTTATTTCGTATAAAAATAATTTATTTTAAAGTCCGGAATTGAAACTTTTAATACTTTGTAAAAAGTTAAAAAAAACTAGTTTATTTAAATTTATTTATATGTACCTTAATAGTAACTATATAGTTTTCATATAGTTAAACGTCGTTTTTAACACTAGTAATAATCGTATTATTATAAAAAAGTAACAACTTTTATTTCGTATAAAAAATAATTTATTTTAAACAGTATTGTTTCAAAATTACGAATCGTTTTTAAAAAGTTAAGAAACTGTTTTATTTAAATTACTTTATATACGTTTATAATAACTATATAGTTTTCATACGGTTAAACGGTACTTTTAACGGTAATAATAATAGTGTTATTATAAATATATAACGACTTTTATTTCGTATAAAAATAATTTCTTTTAAAAAGTAATGTTTTAAAATTTTAAAAAACGTATTAAAAAACCGGTATTTAATTTTTTAACTATTTACTTAGTTATCCTTATTAAATAAGAGTTTAAAATTACTAATATCTAGTATTTTTTAATAACGTAATAATATAATTTCTTTAACCGTACTACGTAAAAGTCGGTTTTTTTATTACTACGTTATTACTTACCGAAAAAACTCTCTCGATAATAGTCGAAGTAGTAGGAACTGTTAAATACCGTTTAGTTAAAACACTTAATACTAGATATTTAAACGAATTCGTCTTTTAGTAATTTAGTTGTTTAACTTAATAAGAAAACTATTAATAATTAATAAAATATAATGTAATTTTTTAAAACTTATATAAAATACTATTTTTTATATTAGGTTTATTAATTATTTTATTTACTTACTATTTAAAAAGAAGTTTTATTTTTTATTTTTTTTTATAAAATATAAAATTAATTATTATTAATTTAGTATTTTAGTATTAGTATAAATGCTAAATACTAATTTTAACGAGAACTAAATAAACTTAAAAGGTACGGCCTTACGTTTATTTACCGTTTATTACTCGTAAACGAATAATTAAACGGAACGTATTAATTAGTCGTTAAAAAAGTTTTTATATAGTTACTATTTAAAAGATCTTTAAAATTAATCGTATACTTTATTAAACAGCGTTTTTTTATATAATAATTACCGACACGTTAATATTAAAACGTTTTCTTTCGTTATATTATATAAGTTTCATTTACGTATCCTTGAATAAACTAAAATTAAAAATAATAATATGAAAGTCATCGGAGTTTTAAAAAGGTTACGACGATTAAACGTTACTCTTTAAAAAATAAAAAAGTATTAAAATTAATAAATTATTACTTAATAAAAACATTATAATAAATACTACGAATATTAAAAGCATATTATAAACGACGTTATAA